ATTCGCTAGCGAATTGAGCGAGTCGAGCGAATCGCCAGCGAATCGAACTAGGCACCAGCGAATCGAACTAGGTACCAGCGAATCTTGCATAAAGCTTGAAACTAGGGTGTTAGGCTAGGTTTTGAGTGAGTGTGTGGTTGCCGCCGGACAAAGAGCCTTTGGTGAGGCCACACAACCTCCGAATTCGCAATCTCGCGTTTTACTCCCCTATTTCGTCCACTATAGGTACTCGTTGATTGGTTTACAAGGAATTAATTAAATTATTCGATCAGTTTCTGATTACCCCATTGAACCTACTGTCAAGGGCGCCCCTGCAGATTCTTCGCAGTAGTTTTCGATGCGGGATCAGGGGTAGAAGACTGCATACGATTACAAAAGACTTTCATATTACGGACCGTAAATGGAATTTTTTCCAAAGTTGAAGAAGAGATTTTAATTTTAATTCAATTACTCCTTGTAAACCAATCAACGTAGTACCTATCGCGGGCGAAATAGGGGAGTAAAACGCGAGATTGCGAAATTCGGAGGTTGTGTGGCCACCAAAGGCTCTTTGAACCACACACTCACTCCGGAGCCTAACCTCCCTAAGTTCCAAGCATTATGCAAGATTCGCTGGTACCTAGTTTGATTCGCTGGTACATAGTTCGAATCGCTGGTGCATCGTTCGATTCGCTGGCGATTCGCTCGACTCGCTCGATTCGCTAGCGATTCGCTCGATTCGCAAAGTATGACGTTCGGCTCGGTCGGTGCACCATTCTAGGAGTAGTGATATAACAAATATACAAATTATTCCAGGCTATAAAAGACTATTAAAAAGCGCACGTCGCCTATAAAATCTACTTTGCGGACGTTCAAGTCATTGCTCTATTCCTCCCTAACGAGATTCGCTGAACCTTGTTAAAAATAACTTGACCGATTCAATACTGTTAGCGGAAAAGCAATTATGAAGAAAACATTCGAGGAACCGAGCCACTGTGAATTTCTATGTGTAAGTACCCTCAATTCTCTTCGCTCACTAAGTTTGTTATTTCATGATGAGAAAGTACATAAAATGAATAGGTGTTGGACACTAACCTGTATGTCGGAAAATCTGGCACCGGTAGCTCCTGCTTCTTTGATAGGCTTGTAGACAGATCTCAAACTTTTCCTTTGTGAAACAGGAATGTCTAACAAAAACTCTTCGAATGGCGGAGGAGGATGCTTGTCCGCCGGCTGAGACCTAAACGGTGTTAATAATCATCTCTTACCAACAATGTTCAACTGCACTATGTGTAATTCACTGGTCAATCCAAACAACTTGACATTAAGAAGTAACTCACCAATCAATAATGTGTATCAATGACTGCCAATGTGGCAGCTCTGGGTGCTCTGAAGCACTACCCTGATACACATGTATCTTCTCTAGATGCAAGTCAGCATTTTCAAGATAACGGATTTGCTTGATCGACTGCGTCGTAGTGTTCACCATGTTTGAAAGTGCTGCACTTTCGAACATGGTGAAAACTTCATCATCAACGCAAACGTCCAGACTGCTCTGAAAAGACACCGTCAGCATTACAATAAAGTGGCAGTAAATAGAAAATATGCGTACGTCGTTATAGAAGGAAGAGGACGCAACAACAAGAGCACCCGCAAGGTCTCCTTCCAATTCTTCTGTTTCATTTATGGAGTCATCAATAGTGTTGAACACACTGAGTGATTGCTCTACTATGTCAGGATGGAAGCGATGAGCAAAGAAATGCCGGAAACTAAAAAAGATGTGTGACAAAAAATAGCAGTTAAATATCAGCAACGCAATTCCAGAACTAATGGAAGTCACCTTAAAAATTCAAACTGAAACTCACTAATACGAAAGTATAGCTTGGTTCTTTGTTATCACCATTAACTGAGGATCTAGAGATCGAGATCGGGACACGAGTCCATCGGCTCGTAAAACCTCAAAAATAATATGTACGAAGGATAGAAAAAGGGCTTTTGGGAATTTCAACCGACAGCAGCGACATTTACAAAAAAGAATAAAAACAAATTGTCGCCGTAAAGAAACCGATGCAGGAAGAAAAAAGGTTCAGAAAGTCGGAAACGATTATTTTGAAGCAAAATTAACAAAATCCTCGAAACACTCACTTGCAAGGCATTAGAAATCACTGCAGCAGAGATCTGATCAAGTATCGACTCAGAAAAGGCCCCATCTGTTGAGTGAATGAGAATGGACTGAAACGAACAGAAGGATATGAATATCAATCATAAACGCTGCACACGGAGTAAGCAGCAGTTCAGAAACGTATCTCACAAACGTATTAGACTTACCAGGAGTATATTTATCGCTACGCAGTGGTGTATGTGTTCTAGTGATGTAGGAGCTTGCGAGCGTAATGGTAAGGGAGCAGCAATGGTGTGCTCCGGAGATATGGTTAGCTGCAAGAATGCATATCTTGTTTATCAGCACATGCTAGATACACTAGAAGCAAAAGGAAAGATATAGCATAAATAGTACAAACTATGCAATGGTAAGCTATTTTTGCATTGTGCATAAGCAGTATTGGGAACTACATGAAAACTTATTCAGTCAAATTAAGAAAAAAATGGATATTGACACATTAACTGGAATACAACGCACTGTTGCTTATTTCAGTATGCTAGAGAACTTCAGCAGAGGATTTGCAAAAATTTCCGAATTTATAAAAACTATGCCGGCAGGAGTCTGCTTGACGGTGATGGACAATGGATCGAATATTCAACGATATTTTGACCGCTAATCAAGATTGAGCTGAAGCGAGAACAGGCTCAAATCCAAAATTTGCGGCCGCAGAAAAACCAAGAACCTACTTTACTAGACTTCAAGAATTCCTCAAATTGCTTGTTGGACGTTGCCGGAACAGGAAGTATTTGGCTCTCCCTGGAAATATGGTTTTTTTTATCGAGCAATGAGATAACGGAATGGGCACAACCCACATGAAAAGGAGACGATTCGCAACATCAAAAGCATTTCTGAAGAAGGTGGCTTTTGCCTCAGATGTTGACAAGGGAGACGATGCAAGCAGAAAACGAAGATCGCGCATCTCCTGCAAGCAAACGGAAATAACAGTTAGGAGCAAACAATAACAACTACTAAGAAGAAAATTTTGTACCTGAAAGGTTGACAGATTGCGGACAATCCTTTGTAGATAAGCCAGTCGAGCAGGTCGGACCATTTCTCGGACACCAGCTGCCATGAGCGACTAAAACTCGCCATTAAAAGAATACTTCACGACCGATATCCAAGAACTTCGGAAATTTTCACTAACCTGGACGGTCTTGCTTCGCGATTCAGGTATGTTCTCATGCATAATATCTCTCACTACAGCAGGATCAAGCCAAAACCGATACACAGGATTGAGGAAAAAGCCGACTGCACGAATCATAATCAACTACAAGTAAGAGTTATTCAAGAAAGAATCAAAGCCCCATCGGAGAATCACTTGAAAACCAACGTTACCATGTCTCTTTCCCTCGAGTTGAATCGGCTGCGCAAATGAAGCCGATTTTGCGCACTGATAAGATCTACGCTATCCATTGGACGCTTCTTTTTACCACATTGTGAATAGATTTTGAGCTAAAACAAGTTGAATCAAGCAAGCAGTGGCAGAAGAAAACCACAGCTCTGAAAAGGAGAAAAGACGTTACCGTGGGCGTAGACGGCTTTTTCAAATTTGGTCTTTTCTTAGCTGTCGGGTCGATTGCCACAGGATTACGAGCAGTGGGAAAGAAACCGTCTTTCGTCTGCGTAGCCTTCGGAAATCTCATTAGAATAACCAAAATGACGAGTAATATGAAATCTCACATTCTTTTGCTTTTTCGATTTCAGCAAGTCCAATTCACTCGGCATAAGACTTTTAACATAACTATTCCAATCTTTCTTCAGATTGGCTACTCTGAAAACGAGCGTTTTTATTTCGGAACTGCTCAAAAGAATTTATCATTGAATTTACCTGGCTTCAACTATACTACGGACTTTGTCAGACTGTTTCCGAAACCTCGCAATGAACCAGCCGACGCATGAATTCTGTCCAGGATCAACGTCCCAGTGACGTTTCAAATGTCTTGAAATAAGAAAGATACTTTCACAAACATTCGACTCATTCCAATTCTAGCAACTCACATATAAAGTGCAGAATCGAATCCAGCAACACCCTCGTTAGGTGCTATGGGTAGAAGAGTACCCACCTTCTCTTGCGGATCTTTGATCACCAAACCTTGAAAAGAAAAACAGGTACTGGATAGCCAGCATACGTAATCTGATCAACAAGAACCTGTACCGCTTCGGGACTAACACGGTTGGTGGACCCTGGAAATAATGAGACACTTTCGTTAATTAGCTAGCGCTGTTAATGGTGCTGAGACAGTAGTACTATGCGGGCTCGAACCGAGAATCTGACTCTTGAGGATAACACACTTGCTTCACTCCGATGATAGGGCAAAGGCTTATGCAGGTAAGCGCTCAGCATGTCACACTTGCTGCAGTCTATGTATCGGTTATGATTGGGATTATGAATTTTGGTAGTTAGCAGACTAAAAAAGTAGAGCGCAAAATGCTCTGCCGTTTTGACTGAGGATATAGACAGGCCATTAATCGAGATAAGGAATTAATGCGCCGATGAAAGTTTTGCTGGGAACTAATGAAGGCTTAGTAATAGAAACAATTGACACCACCCTATGACTTAAAAATTAAGTCTGTGGACTCTACTTTAGCGAAGCAAATAACCAGAGGAAAAAAAATAGTGAAGATGAAAAGGAACATGACTGCGCATCAACAGGGCCAGAAAGCAACAGGGGACTCGTCCCTCCGCTGGCATATACTGTTAACCTCCTATCATACACCGCTTGACGTTAATTGCCAAACGTTACTGCATGCAGCAGCGTTGGTAATATGCTGACTTACCATTGCATACTAACAGAACCATAAACAGTTTCGAGCACCAACCTTGTCAAATTGCCCCATGCTGTACTTTTTGTGCCGCGCTTGACTAATTTCCTCAGAGTTTACGTCATTTCGAAAAGCAAGTGGAGTAGACTGCACGATGGCGCGCAGGTGATGCCAATAAAGTACAACATCGTCCTGAAACAGTCTTCAATTTAACCGCACCCACACTTCGTCATGTTCCTCGAAAGATAAGGAAGGTGAAATAAACTGATGAATCATGAAACTTACAACACTATTGAACTCATAGTTGTACTTATCGTATGTTGACAATGGTAGTGTGACTGAAGCATAACCGCGACCGCTCGTACTTGTATCGTAAAGTGTACCACTGCAAACAAACTCGCTCAAAAATACTCCAGCGTTAATAAAATAACGGAAAATCTACAGGTAGTATTCTTAGTGGTGCACCACGAAAGCAGTGTCAAGGTACCATGCAAAATTAGACTACTACCTCAGACTAAAATCAAAAGACAAAACCTCATATTTTTTTGAAGATTCCATTATAAGGTCAAAGGTAGAAGAAGGAAAATCTTATCGAGTGCACGCAATTCACAGCGGAGGATATACCCGAGAGCGTTGGAGCGATGAGTCCCA